CGACAGCCATAATATCGACATTCAAAATCCCGACAGTCGAAATCCCGACAGCCATAATATCGACATTCAAAATCCCGACAGCCAAAATCCCGACTATCCAAAATAGGATATTTCCGGACGTTTTACCCATAATTGGTCTTAAAATCTGGGGCTTCTGGCGGTCCTGATTTCGGCTGTCCGGATTTTAGCTTGTCGAACTTTGGCTGTCGGGGTTATTGTAAATTTCGGGGTTTTGAATGTCGGGATTTCGCGTAAGCCCCCAAGCACAAATTAAGTTCCAGTTCGGTAAAAGCATCTGAATACGGCAACCCTAATCGACGCTACGTTTCAGTTTTCGCTGGTCATTGTGCATTGTTTCTACATTCTTCGTACCATGAGCCCAAAGACAAAAAAGCTACACCGAAAAGTGATTGTAGCGTTGATGTGTCAGGTATTACAGTTATCGCACCACACGGCGTGTTTCAGGTGCTGATTCCTCTTTGTACAATCTCACTGCCCTGGTCGTATATGATCCTTTTATTCATCACTGGTCGCACTGGCCACCCAGGTAAAATTATATTTGTGTAAACCGCCGAGTCTAGGCATCATCAATTGTGGTATGGTCATCAACGCGTGCCACGCGCTGATAGGATCTATCATCCTGGCTATAACGACTGATACCTATCGTCGGCACATTCTAACGAAGATCGCCAAAATATTTAGGTTTGGCTCAAATTTATTTGAATTGCTTTCGTTTAGGATAGTACCCCGCGAAACCCTGCCGCCAAAGCCCTGCGAACAGATACCGAATAAACGTTAGAAAAACAACCGTTTTCTTGTTGTACTTTTCTGAGCTTCGCAAACCTTGCTTTTGCTAGTGTTTTTGGATAGGAAAGAAACGTCATTGTGTTTATGATGGTCCGGAATCTACTTCACATACAAAAATTGGTGAACAATTGCCTTTTTAGCTGTTAAATTTAGCTTTTTGTTAACACCCTCCATTTTGTGCCGAAAATTCTGGGGGTCGGAATTTACTTGAACAGATTTCCCGGGATACACTTGTCGATGCTGTCGAAGGCTTCGTCCCTGAAAAGCCGGAACCCCGGCTGTTCGACGGAATTTAATGGCATCACGATAACGATGCTGATTTAGAGGCCACACTATTGGAAAAGCCAAAGCCATAAGTTTCCTTTGGTTCTTGTCGCATCAATAGCGACGTATCTAGCACAAATTCACGCACCATTGATAACCCTCGAAACATCTGGCGCCTGTGTTTGAATCTAGTTGGTCGTCTGCGCGAGTGATCAAACCTTCTCTACCTGTCAAATATCACTCGTTCTGTGTCCTAGTTTTTACCAATTATTCAGCATATTTTTCCTTCATAAAAACTAATAAGCCACTTACCCTGTAAAATCTCACATTTTAATGACCTTTAAGCGCAGCTTCTATCTGATGGCGTGGGTCTGCGAAGCACCGCCTGGATACCAGACGACGGCCTACAAATTTGAGTGCGGCGGCAGATTGTTGAAATGCGGCGGTTGCAGAGGAAAATGTGAGTTTATCCTTGAAAATTCATAGCTTTTTAGACGAGCTTCATGAGCGGAAGTTGCGTTGCTTACATCCGGTTTGTAGTGAATGTTTGGAGGAAGCATACAGGTCTGTCTCTCTCTCTCTCGCTCTGTTTCTCTCTCTCTCCCGCTCTCTCTATCGCTCTCTCGCTCTCTCTATCTCTCTCTCACTCTCGCGTTTCCTCTTATCGTAAAAAACATGAAATTTAGTATCCAATGCACCTATTGCCTGGAACGATCGCCAGTCAGCAGCTCAACCCCACTCGATCAAGGTTGGGGCGCAATTTTTCAATGAGCAACAACAGTTTTAAGAAGATCTACAGCGACTCGAGAAATCTGGTGCATTAAAAAGACAAAGAAAATACATGGAGTTTTGTGACGATTACCACATGGCCCTATCGTTCAAATTCAGGCGAGAGGTAGGTGTCGAGCACGTAAAAAATCAGATCTATCCTGTTACAGAGGGCTTTGAATAAGAACAACCACGAAAAGAGTAACAAGAATAACCATGAATGCGAGGTATCTAATTTTTGAAGAACCTTCCGAATAGGTACTCAAAAATTCAGGTTCAAGCCTTGAAAAATGAGCTAGAGAGGTCCAAACGTCAAGTGGAGGAACTTTTACATCATAACCAGTCGACAGCTAAGCTATTGTGTACGGTAAGTGCGCAATACTTGGGTTATTTGAATTTAGATCATTCCGAATTCATTTCTTCCATTTAGTTGGCAGACCGTAACGTACGTTTGACAGACGAGCTACTCGAGCAGCTAGTGGGCAAAACGGCGGTATGGATTCGGTTAAATTAATTTAATGAAACCATTGGTGCATTCGGCCATCTAATTTATTCAAAAAAAAAATGCTGTTTTAGGGATGTGGTGCCGCCACTTTCGTACCCAGTTTACCGGGACCCAGTTCCCAAGGGGAAAAACCTGTGCCGCTAATGGATCTCTGGCAGCGCGATGGTATTTTTATTCGCATCGTTCCGGCAGGATCTCTTTTTCTAGGTTGGCTCTATCAAGACCAGATGGCTTCCCGGCAGCCGATGTGTAGCAAATGCCAAGTTGAAATTTCTAGGTAAGTCTGGTCTATTGATTTGCCATCAGTATGGTGAATTTTGAGACTTCAGTGAAATGAAATTTCGGCCCAATCGGAATTCCACAAAATTAACGCCGACATTACAACTTCCAACGACCCAAAAAAAACTGATTTACATTAAAATCTAGCGTCATTTGCGTGGATTGTCATCAGGCAGCGGCGACGGAAGCAAGTACGATCGCCGCTCGGGTGTCAAAAATCGTATTGCAGTCGGTGACCAACAAGCCAACGGAAAAGGTATGCGACTACTAAAAACGACGGTAGCCCGGAAAAAATTACACCAACTTAAATTTGAAAATGAGCCTTGCTGACACCGTGATCCCTGTAAAACCACAAGTGTAACACAAATTTATAGCACTTTTCCAGAAAAAGATCGCCAGATTTATGCCGATTCCGAAGCCCCGGCCCCCCATATGTGATACCTGTGCTAAAAACAACACAAAGATACAGGAACTGGTGAGTTTAAAAAATTTTTCTTAGTACAGAAATTCCTATTTTGTAGGAGGCAGCACTAGCCAAAGCCCAGAAAGAAAAAGCTGGTCTAGAAGAAGTCGTCAAGACTCTGTGCGGGAGGATAGATGAAGTGACGGAAAACTGCGCTAGCTTGAAGAGACAATTGGCCGGGCAAGGCCGAGGATCCGGCAGGGTCCATGAAGCTCATGCTCAGGTAAGTAGCGTTCACCTGATAAAATTAAATCTCTTAGTTGTATAATTTGTTTAACTTGATTCTTTTAGGGAGAAAAGCTGTCGGAAGAACTACAGATGCTGAAAAGCGGCGCGAAAAAATCGGAACCGCTCCGGAAGTGGACCAATCAGCCTCAGCAAGGCTCCGATTTCGAACCGAATGTAAGTTTTGCAGGAAAATACTGAAAAGTATGGTTTAGATGTGCCCGACATTGCGAAATTCGAGCGCAGAAGAATGGCCAAGCCTGAGGAAATAATCGCTACAACATCCCCTGATCTTTGCGTTTGCTGTTGTTTTCTCTTATAAATAATTGAACAATTACATGGATTGACCTATGATTGATATGGTGATAAGATACGATTGACATCTATAATTGTTAAGTAGAGGCCGTTGGGACGGAGCTTATATTTTTGGAAAGATGATGACAGTTAGCCGTACTGAGGGCCCAAAGTCTCTTTTTCGATTTTTTGCTCAAAACACGTTATCGTCGGTTTCTTTGCCGCGCTATGCGTGAGTTCCTGATATCATTCTGCTGCTTCTAGCAAGATACGTACATATGTTCTTCGGCGGACAAGCCGTGACCTAATTTTTTGCAGTTTCCAGCCCCTGCAAGCAGCAACAAAACTGTTCCGTAAAGCTAAAAGATTGCGACAAAGACTTGAAGAGCGTAAAAATCTCTAGTTATGGATCTCTACTACGTACTCACTACTGCTCTCTACAGGTTGTTCCAGAAATCAGTACCAGCAAATTTCTGAGGTTTTTTCGATTAATGGTTTTATTTAGAAAAACCACAATTTTATAAATTTCCCCGTTTTCTGGCGTAACGACGGCTTTTTGGAACGCGATTTGTAATTAGCCGTGCTTGGTGCTGAAGCCGTTTAAATTAGGTTTTTAGAAAGAGCGAGTCCACGAATTGTTGCCCAAAATTTCCATTTCTAAAATCCTAAGCGAGCGGACCCGCCTTTTCATGCTTTCGGTATCTATCTAAACCGTGAAAATCGCACTCGTCTGAGGACCGGAAGGGTGGCGAGAGATTTTAGCGTGGTCCTGGATTATTGCCAAAACATCGTCAGCCGACCAATGGTGTATCAAAAGCAAAGAGGGCGCTTATCACTGCCGCACTCATAGCGATGAATTTAGCGGGATGTATAACTATAACAAAGGATTTTAGTGTGCCTCCACGACCTTTTAGCCCATTTGTGATAGCTGCCAGATGCTGCCGTATCTGCCCCTGGAGAAGGTCAGCTGGCACTCATTTCCTACCCGATCTTCCTCTCCCTTTTCACAGCCTCTCATTTCACAAAAGTTTTTCCCCTCTATTAAATCTTGCTTCTTACTTTAACCAGCCGGCAAGCGGCTGGTCTTCGGCCTACCCCTGAGTTCCCGCCCGCTCGCCCAAACGCGCGCGACCTGGCTCACTATGTCCAAAATCGCCCCAACCTCCGTCCCCCTCTGCTTTTACTAACGAAAAAACTTTCAAAGTTAAATTTAATAGTCTTTTTTTGATCAGTTTGGGAGTTTCTGACCACGCTCTAGCCGAATCCGAAGAGACCGAAGCTCTAGCTCCTTTCCCCTTCGAGTTGAATCCGGGACCGGACGGCGTCCCTACTTTCCTGTTGATTACTAGTTTTGATATCGTACCATTTATCATTACTTTCAGAAACGGAAACAGGATGGCGACGTTCAAATCGATGCAGAATTTCAAGCCCTATGACCATGAGGTATCTTTAACGTTTAAGCACGCAGTGTGTTGCCCATGAAAACAGGAACGCGTCAACTATACCAATTTTTCTAGGCCCAACTCAAGAAATTCGAGACCAAGAAAATCCCGGACGACGAAGAGGACCTGCCATACGGCTACTGCTGCTTCTGCAATTTGTTCGACACGAATCTGGACAACGTGATGAACTCGTTGCGGTTGCCGTGTGGGCATGTTTGCTGCCCGAGGTGTCTTCACCTGAGCTATCCACTGTAAGTCGGGGTAATCGTCCCCAACTTAGCTGGCTAAACACGGTATTTCCTATAGTACCCCCGCTATCATAATTTCTCTAAGGCCTTTTCCAGCCGCTACAAATGCGAGTTGTGCTTGAAATGGGACAAGCAGGACTCTCGACCCTGGAATGTCAACTTCCGGAAACATGGCTGGATGGCCGGCGTGCCGGACAGGTTCGACGAGAGGGTAGGACGATCACTCAAATGCTGATTTTTTTTCCTATTTTTAGGACATCAAGGCGTGCCGATTCTGCCAGAATGTCGGAGGTATGCTTGAATTTTTGGATTCTTATACCAAAAACCTGAGAATATTTGAAACCTGAATTTTCAAAATTTCCATTTGGAAAATATCGAATTTTTGAAATTTCGGATTTTCAAAACCAGGATTTTCTAAAACTCGAAGTTTCGAAATCAATGATTTTCGAGATCATGAATTTTGAAAATCTCGAATTTAAAACATCTCGAATTTTCAAAAGTCGTAATTCCCTAGCATAAAAATAGCTAGACGCTGCATTTTTCCTGGACGTCTTTCGTTACGTCCCTCGAGATTCTCGAGATTCTCGAGATTCTCGAGATTCTGTAAATTCGGTATTTTCGAGAATTCCAGGTTCTGGTTTTGGGATTTCGATAGGCAACCCCAGAAACTAAAAAGCCCATTTGTACACAATTTCATAACCCGAAAGTTTAGTAAAACTCGAGAGGAAAATGGACAAAATCAAATTCTACTGGATGCCCGACGGCTCCGTCAGTTGCGTTGGGTGTGCTGATGAATGGGTGCGGTAAGTTTCACCTTTTTTTGCCAGCAATTTCTCTAGGGATATTGCGGAAACGACCCGACTGATGCCGGCCATGCGCAAGCTGTTTGGTAAGCTGAATTCATCCATTTTTGCTAAAAGTCTGTTCAGATTACGTCAACACTGACCCGGCTAAGCGGCACTTGTTGAAGTGGGGATCAAAGGTATCGATAAAATACTTTATTTCCTACGATCGATTTATTATTTTTGTTTTTAAAGTAGATTCTCCGGATTTTTCTCCAATTGTGTTTAAAATTCATCAATTACTTAAAGAGCATTCGCTTAAGGTTTGCGCTGCAATTTTGAGTGATTTAGGCTAAATCTCGTAAGTTTGTCTAAAAACCTCGACATTTTAATCGATTAATAAACTACGATCCTCACTTTATTAAAATAGCGTCATGATTAAAGTATAATCCGTAAAAGCGAAAAATGGAAAAGTGGAAAATTGGTGAAAATACGTTATCAAGGCTAATTACAGTTTTTAGGCGGCTAGTGGCAGTACAAAAACGACCAACAAGAAGAAGAACAAGAATAGGAAGCAAATGAATCGCAAAAAATTGCAAAAGCACCAGCTTGAAGAGCTGGAAAGTTCTGACGACGAAGAAGGGTGGGAATTAGCTGAAGAGCCCGGCACGGAAACGCCTTGCGAGGGCTGCACAAAGTTGGAAGCCGAAAAAGACCAGCTGGTAGGCCTTGAAAAAATTTTCCTAATTTTTCTTCTTCTTGATATCCTTAAAAAAACAAGAATTTTTCAGGTTCAAAAACTCGAGCGAAAATGTGCGTCGTTGAAGGAATACCACGTAAGCGGTTTTTTAGAAAATCGATCATCTATTTTTTTAGGACTTTTGCGTAAAGGACTGGGAGAAGAAGCGGAAGAGCTATGAAGAGAAGGTAGCGCTTTTTCTCTCCCACTTAAACCCTTTTTTTCAGGAAAAAGCGCTTGAGACCAGGGTGAAAGCGCTAGAAGAAAAGTTGTCGGGCCGCGAGGCGAAGGAGTTGGTAGGGTACAAAACTTCAGATTCAAAAATTATGACATTTTAGAGCCAGAAACAGGCGGTTGCGAAGCTTAAGGAAGCGATTTCGATGCTGCAGCTGGATGATAACCAGAAGGTCAGGATTGTAACGTTCTCCGCATCTAAAGCTTCTATTTTTTAGAAGCCAAACAATGACGTAGAAGCTGATTTCTGATGAAAAAACACACTACAGATCAACGTGCTGATTTTCTTTGATTTGTTAATTGATACCGTACCTTTTTCCCTTGGTGTGTCTCTTTATAAAGATTTTATCGCCTCAATTATCGGATACATCACATCTCATCAAGACCATTGGTCGAACAAGTGCGCCGTGGCCACTGGGTCGTTTTTACGCGCCTGTTCGATCGGGTCGCTATTGCCTGGGGCCAATTGTGCACGCTGTCCACCCGGCGTTTCAAATGGCAGCATCAGCATATGCTATCACCCGGCTAACCCTTGCGTATAATTTTTGGCATTATCAGAAAACCTTTCACTATGGTCACATCCGTTTTTCGAGCACTCGGTTCGAAGGAACCAAACAACTCTGCTCTGCCATCTTGCAAAGTTGGATTTCTACGGGGTACAGTCACTACCCCGAAAAGTCATACCCCGAAAGTCACACCCGAAAGTCACTACCCAAAAGTCAATACCCCGAAAGTCCTACCCCGAAAGTCACTCCCCGAAATAATTTACATGTTTTCATGAAAACCGCATGAAACTGGTTCTTCCGGGAAAACATGCTATCATTTTTCGGGGTAGTGACTCGGGGGTGTTCGGATTGCTTTTCGGGGTGTGACTTCGGGGTAGTGCTTCGGGGTAGTGCTTTCGGGGTAGTGACTTTCGGGGTGTGACTTTCGGGGTGTGTTCGGGGTGTGCTTCGGGGTGTGCTTTCGGGGTGTGACTTTCGGGGTTGACTCGGGGTGTGACTTTCGGGGTGTGCCGGGGTAGTGCTCGGGGTGTGCTTTCGGGGTGTGCTTTCGGGGTTTGACTTTCGGGGTAGTGCTCGGGGGTGACTTTCGGGGTGTGCCGGTTCTATTTTCGACAACTACCACAATTTTGCTATTAAATCAGCCCATCCAGTATGTGAATTATGCCATAGAAACAAGTTTAAACCATCTGCAACTTAACAGCTTTCAAAAAATCAGCTTAAAATCTGGCTCCTGCAGCTTTACTCATGCCGAAGCGCGAATACGAACCCATGCTTCCGTCAGATGTAGCTGCCCTGATTTGGGCGGATCCTGAAGACGCGGAAGCAATCCGCGAGGAGAACGCCGCCCTGAAGCTGCAGGTAGAAACGCTGTTGTCTAAAAATTGGAGGCTGAGGAATCAAAAGGTAAAGCATTTCTTATAACATTTAAGACACATATGCCTGCAGGCCATGTCGAAAAGAACTAGACGACGAGTCAGAGCTGGCGACATGGCTAAGGTGCTTAAAAAGGTATATTACTAGGGAAATCAGCAATAACCCCGGAATTGATATTGCCTGAAAACTTGCCACTTGTTTCGAATGAGCTTTCTAACGAAAATTGTCAAAAACTGAAAAAAATTGCGACATTTTGCTATGGGAAATGGCAAGAAGCAGGGACTAGTAAACCGGCCCCGGGGCGCCCCGAAATCGGCCGGGGCCAGAAAATTTCATAGGGGGGACCCTATGTTTTTCTCAAAATTTTGCTGCCTGCGGCGTATTTTTACGTTTTACGGCTATTTGTAGAGCTTGGACCTTTTTCAAAATTTTGCCTGCGGCGCTGTTTCTCGTTAATGTTTTGGTTTTGTGGAAATTTTTGGGGCCCCGAATTTTTCTGGCCGCCCTGGAGAAGCCCACTTAGCGCGCATTTTTGAGGTGCTAATTTGCTGGACCGATTAGAGGACTTACGTTATCAGTATTTCCCTTTTTAGCGCGCCTCAACCTCGGCCGAAGTCGACCTGAAACAACAACAAATCGATGACCTAAGCGAGCAGCTAAAAACAGTGACGAGCGAACTAGAGTTTTGTCGAAAAAATGAACAGGAACAGGTCGGTTTCAGCATTTTTCCAAAATGTCATGTTTTTGCATGCACTTCTTTCGCGTATTTAGACGTAAAAATGCTTCGGGAATTACGTCGCCATTTGTGGAATCCTCAGCCAATTTTAATTATTTTAATCCATTGGCCAATTAATTTAATCATTTTCAATTTTAAAATTGACCCCAAAGTCATCAATTCTATGCATTGAACGATTTACAAGAAATTACGCCACACAGTGTGTGCCAATAAAAAACACCCCTTTTAACTCGACGTAGAAGCGTCGGATAGGAATGCTAGTTATACCATTCGAAAGCCCATGAAACGACAAATTTGTAACAATTTTTAAGACTATGTTTTTATTTAAACGTACCATTTTACAAATCATTTAAAAACATTAAGCAACGGCCTCTCCATCTAATTAACGGCTACTTGCGGTCAATTTGTTTGGAGAAATTGAGGCAAACCAGCTTGTGTGCAACCTCGAAAACCGCAAGTTTCTACAAAATGACTTGTAAAACGACGCGTATAAATAAAAACGTGGTTTGAGATTGTTACAAACTTGCCGTTTCAAGGGCTTTCGAATGGTGTAACTGCCATTCCGTTCCGATACTTCTGCGTCGCTTAGAGAGGGGTGTTTTTTTATTGGGACACCCAGTACAACTCTTCCCCCGTTTCAAACCTTCCGCTTTCAGGAACGTCTGATGCTAGGGAAGGAGGCGCACCTCACCAGTCTTGAGCAGATGGTGATCAACCTAAATTGGAGGATAGATGCAGCAAACGCGCAGAACGTGCTGCTTGAAAAGCTGATCCAAGCGCGGAAAGCCGAAGCAGAACAAGTGAACCCGGTACGTTTTGAAGATACCCGCAACTGCGTTTTTAAGGCCAGAGAACATCTTGAAGGCAAGGTAGATGCTCTGAGACGCGAAAACAATACGCTACGTTCGGGCCAGGTATCTTTGAGAAAATTCAAAGCGTACTGTCTTACAGCATGCGTTGCAAAAAGGGAGAAACAGGCTGCAGGCTAGCTACAAGGCGAAGGTATGCTAAAAAATACGGCGTCAGGTGATTACGTTGCAGATTCATAAACTTGGCACTGAGGTGGGTCGCTGGAAGGGTCATGCAGACGAGCTTCAGGCACAATGTGCTTCCGCCGCCGATCTGTTGCTCGAACTGAGAAAGTAAGGATTTTTTCGAATGTTCTAGGAGACAGATAGTTTTCGCAAATTCGTAAATTCGTAACGATTGGTATACCTCGATGGTTAGAAATAAATATAAATTTCACAATAAGTTCGTGCTTTAGCCTGGACTGCGCAAATTGCCATCACCCGGTGATCGAGCCCGCGTCGACCAAATTTGGTAAGAAACGGAATTTGGAAAGCCTACTCAATTTTTAGAAGTTATTGACGGATTGGTCAACTTTTTGGCAGTATACGTGAGAAGAAAGGCCGAACGCGCCGAATATCAAGCCGACGACCCTGACCTACAGTCAGCTACAAGCCGCCGGCAGGCAGGGATTATAATTTCAATATAAAATCTACTAACAAACAGACGTTTACAGCCACAGTCGAGTTTCCACACGGGACCGAGCCCATTTTATGCAGAATTTTTGGCTGATTCCGAATCTGGCAGTCAATTGGCCGCTTTCATTTCAAAAAATGTTCAAAACCTAAAATTTTCAATTTCAAAAATTTTTCTATTCGACTTTTAATCTCTAGATCACATTTTAGATACGATTCAAACGGGCAATCGGAGAGGAATACTCGGAAGGACCTGGCGAATGGGCCGAAACGCCGTATGACGCAGACGGCTTTGAGCTAAATGTAAGTTTATTTTAACTTTTGTAAAATTCAGAAGAGCTTTAGTAGCTTCAGCAACTTTGGGCTTTAGAAAGCTCAAGTTTTAGAATTTAAAAAGCTTTCGAAAAACCGATTATTTAGATGTGTCTGACCCTTGAAGACCCGACACCCGGAGAATAGCCCAGCCGTTAGAAGTACCACCTATTATTATAAACGATCAGTTATTTGGTTTTCATTCTCATTTTTAATCTCATTAAATTTAATAGATATGCTGAGCATTACATATGTATAAATCGTAATTTATCATTGCGAAGGCTATTGAGTATCTTGGCATTGGTGTTCCAAGCCTGTCCAGATGTATTTGTCCAAATTTTCCACACCCAAACTAGGCATCACAAAGATCGAAGCAAAGTAAAGAATACATTAGTGCTGCTCGAGATATGCCAAAGTTGCAGATATATAAAGATAGCAATCGAGCAGGTGATAATATCGATCAAAAACCGGGCAGAATTTTGGAAGATGCACTCGAATGACGCGCTCCTAGCAGGTTGACAAGAGCCCATTTTTGGATTTTCCACTGTTTTTTTGGACCAAGGTGTCACTGTAAAGGTAAAGGCAAAAAAAACCGTTTCGTGGTTGGGAATTCCCTTATCCAATTGGCCATTAAAACTTGAACTTATCTCTATTTCCATCATCGACATCTTTTACTTACATTTCTCTTAATTTTCTCTCCTTTTCCTTAGTAATTATTTAGCCGCGATGATTTTATGTGAATATTAAAGGTTTTCGGGGGTTTTTACTCCTCGCCGAGATGGGCCCGATTTTATCCGCTCCGGCACCAGAAACTGGCTACAGGTTCGAACGCGACGATGAAATTCTGAAATGTGGCGGCTGTCGAGGGGAAGGTGGGTTTTTTCCTTTACAGAATACTGATACAGTAATCTTTTGCCCTAATCCTAAGCCAAGCCTAGGCCTAAGCCTAAACCTAAGCCTAAGCCCGAGCTGAAGTCGATGCCCAAGCTGCAGCCTAGGCATAAGTCTAAGCCAATGCCTAAGATTCAGTCCAATGCTAAGCCTAAGTCAATCCCTAAGCCTCATCTTAAGCCTAAGCCTAAACCAAGCTTCAGCCTGGGCCTAGGCCTAAGCCTAAGCCTAAGCCTAAACTACATAACATAATTTTTAGAAGGCCTTCATCGGCGCAAGTTGACCTGCCAGCATCCAGTTTGTATCAAATGCCTACAAAACGTGGAGATGTGGGCACATTTTCAACTTAGCTAAACTTTCAAATAAGTTCATTGACGTAAATTGTATTAATTTAGTGTCTTCTGCTGGCACTGCAACTGGCTGACACCAACCAAATATGCAATGCCGATCGATACAGGTATTCCAGAATTTTTGCGGAAAACATTTTTTTCCAGATGACCTCGAACGGCTAAAGATGGCCTTGGTAGTTGCAAAGGAAAGCACGGTCAATTCCATCCTGCCTTGCGCCGGTTACGAAAAAGCGGAAGCGTATCGGCTCGAAATTGAGGCCTTGAAACAGGAGTTTGATGACATGAGACCAAGAAGCAACGCACAGGTATCCTACGAAAATAAATAGATACTTTTTTTTTATGAAAATGACGCTCCACGATGGCCCATCATACAGCTGATTACAGGTGAAGGTATGTCAATTCAATGGAAGACTTTAAGACCTAATTTAAGGTGAAAAAAATGCGAGAAGAACTGAACGCTAGCCGGGCGAAAGTGGCTGAGCTCGAGGAAAAGAATCGCTCTTCCGAAGAACTTTTGAAGGAGGTTCGTGCTAACAATTAATTGACCTTATTTAGGCGCGAAAAAACTACGGTGCAATTTTTTGCGAAGAAAAACTTATAGCATTTTTTGCACTTTTTGCTCAAAAATAAACGAAAATCGATCAAAAATCAACATTTTGAAAAAATTTGGCACTTCCTGGCAATGAAAAAGCGCCGAAAGCGCTATAAAATAAGTGATATCTTAATCACTAAAATAGACAAATGACAAACTAAGAATCACACCCGCGCCCCCCGCTAACAGTCCAGTACCAGTTGCCTTAACTGAGTTGATTAGTTTATGTTAATTTTCCTTTATTTTAGTTGTCCGGAGCGGATCATGCGACTGTCGAATGGAGGAAGTACAGCTCCGATACCACGTTTCATTACCGATAATGTGAGGGTGTTTATACAAACGGTGGGTTCGCCAATGGTTTTTAATACTGATGATTTTAGGACATTCTAGTGCAGAAGCTAATGAAGAAAATAGCTAACCTCGAGCAGGCCGTGACAAGAGCTAACTGGAGAATTGATGAAGAGGCTGAGAAAAACGCAAGTCTTCGCGCCCGTTTAGCAGCATACGAAGGAAAGGGATCAGTTACTGTGGAACAGGTATGTAAATCGTAGCTTTATGAAGTGCGTGCTTAGATAAAGCTCTCAAATGAACGACAACCTACCAAAGCACCTACTTTGCAGGCTGGTGTTAATGCAGCATCCGCTAAACTTGTAAGGCGCTTACTTTGTATTCTTGATGATAATTTTCTGTAGAGTACACAGGTAGCGACCGCCCAGACAATCGGTATGCTCCGTGACACGGTGCAGTTTTTGAAAAGGCGGAACGAGACATTGACTGCGAGATGTCAAAGGAAAGGCGTATACCAACCGGCAAGTTTTAAGGTTTAAAGGGATACCCAACCTTTTCCGGGCTCAAAAAGCAAAAACCATGTCGCGAGCGGGGGTCGAACCCGGGATCCCCTGTTTTGTAAGCCTGGATGCTATCCAATAGACCATAGTGGCAATCCATAGGGTCGGATCGGAACGCTATAAGAGGGAAAGGGGGCCGAGTTTTGTGCGACGATGGCGCCCCATTGTCGCACAAAATTCGCGCGTGATTGGTAATGCGCGGAATACATAACTATATATTTGCCGGCGAAACATTGGGTATCCCTTTAAATACTCGGCAATAAGTAGATTAGACCTTAGGACCTAGGCGGCCTGGACCTGGGCTTAGGCTGAGGCTTAGACGTAAGCTTAGGCTTGGGCGTAGGTTTAGGCCAAGCCAAAAGCAGCCATTCAGCAGTTTTGACCAAACCATACATATAACCTTTTAGGGGCCCACAATAACACAAGAAGTAGACTTGCTGCACAGTAAACAGTTAGAAGTGGTGGAGCTGCAAAAACAGCTAGCAACAGTACATGCGGAACTGGAGCTGCGGCGAAAAAATACGCATCAAACGGAGCAACGACGACTCGCAGGGGAGCTGAAAGCGCTCAAGGAGAGAACTGCGGTAAGTCTCTTGACGCAAGCTGGATTACTATTTTTTGGGGAGGCGGGGGGCTAAAATAGAGAGAAAGAGATAGAGAGCGAGAGAGAGAGAGAGAGAGAGAGAGAGAGAGAGAGAGAGAAGAGAGAGAGAGAGCGAGAGAGAGAGCAGAGACAGAGAAAGACGTATTTTCTATCACGAATTCTTACTGTAGGTGCAGACTCTGGCAGAGGAACCGGACATTCTCGATGCTGAGGCCCCAAGCGATCCTTTGCCCTCCGCTTCAGTTAAGGTTTGTTTTCCGGATGCATTTCCACATTGTGGTAGCGAATACCAAAAATCTGTTATTTTTAGGTGGAAACCCTAAACGATGCCCTGCAGCGGGCAGAACTAAAAAACACGGAGCTATGCGAAGCTAAAGAGCAAGCTTTTTCCGCTAACATAGAGCGGATCCAGGCGGTAGGCCTTACCTTACCGTCAACAGTCCCTTTTTATAGCTGGAGGGCTCCAACTCGCGCTTGTCAAGGGAAGTGCTTGGTCTCAGGGAAAGCGCCGTGACGGTAGTGTTTTTAATACTAAAAATAGAAATGTATTGTAGTACACCCGGACCATGATTAGAATTACGAATATACCGATGGATTACACGCAGGAAGATGTCATCAGGCGATGGCTTGGAAACGGGAAACATTTGATTCATTGGGATGAAAGGTAGGAGGGGGAAAACGCCAAAATCCTGACGAGTATAATTCCGACAGACCGAAATCCCGGCAGCCAAAACCCGACAACCAGGATCCCGACAACCGAAAACCCAAACCAAGATAGCCTTTTAAAAGGAAGTGGCTTTCACATGGCTTTCTGTCGCAGTCTTCGTTGTCGGAATTTTCGATTGTCGGTATTTTTGCAGTCAAACCATCGGCTGTCGGGATTTTCGTTTTCGGAATTATGGCTTTAAGTAGGATATTACCTGTTTTAACACAAGCGGAAATACTTTTCAGCCCTGATATGTTCATGCGACTCCATGAAAATGACACCCAATCCTGCATCGCCTACTTTGCGAATGAACAAGCGGCATTAGAGGTTGTAAAAACTTGGTAATTTTAAGTTGGCTTGACTTTTTCAGCTGAAGTCCCGCTTTGAAGGCTTTGAAATCTTTGGGAAAAAGCTTCGATTTGAGGTGGAGACGCTGAAGAAAACGGCAAATTCAGAGCCGAACGTAAGTCTGGAGCGCAATTTTCGAAAAGCCACGCTTAGATGACTGCAACACGGTGAAGCTCTGTCACCGGACAATAACGGATTGTTGAAATGCATTTACCAAAGTATTACCATGCGCTTTTACGTTCGATAAATTCTATGGAATTATGTGAAGGACTTTGCACTTTGTAATTTTACAGTTCTATCTTCTTTCTAACATCTGTGAAATAACGCGTAATTAGCCAGTGCCATTCGATAAAACAACCAAAAAAGCTACGAATACAATTGCCTTGGCGCCTTGCCGAAAAGAAGCGAATTTGACATTTTTATCGCAAAGAATCTTTTGTTGAAACCCACATAGGATAGAATAACGGATGATACTTATACGATTCGAAAGCCCTTGAAACGGTGAGTCGCTGTCGAGCTTCGAAATGCTTACAAGGAAATGACAACATCCAAACGCATCCAAAACATCGCCAAGTTGGCTATTTCCGTTTTACCCTAACCACCTCAACTATTGAAATCGCCACGACGAGCAGAAACAGGAAGTAGAGAATCGATTGCATTGCCGGTGGAATTCAGTTTGTCGGGAAATGGCAGCTGCACTGCCCGGGGGTCAACCTTTATCACGCAAACTTTTCGATTTCCATGTTTTATTCAACGAGGCCGAGGGGTTCAAAGGGGACTCGCTACCAGCCTCAACGGGAAATAACAATTCAACGTACTGAAAGAAATTTGGTTCCGCCTCTGAATCCTGTCTGCGTGTGCAAAACTTTTTGTAAGGCACCGACCGCGAGCATGAATTGTTTCTTATAACAGAGAACTTACAAGAAATAACTTTTATTTCTTATAACATGGAATAATTACGAATTTAATAGATGGCAAAACTGGTAAAAAACTTGAATATCCAGGGACTACACCCAGGAAATGTTTGATGGCTTTTAACTCTTTATTTCGATCTTAATTCCATAAAATGCATTTTGAGAATTGTAGAACAAATTCTGCCGAATCGAATGTGACAAAATCGGAAGAAAATGGACCTTCAAAACTGATTGCATCAAGGCCTTGAAGTTTCCAGTTTTAGGCTATGGTTTGGCACACGCGGTGTGTATTGTAGCGTCTCGTAGCCCCAAAGTGAGGAGCTTTTAGCGAGCTTCTAGAGTCCTTATAATCCTCTCAAAATCTCGGCAACACGACGTTCTTTCCAACCGGACAGTAACAAACTCTGCCAGCACAAATCGCGTGTCGGTCGCGACTTTGGCGACTGTCACCTGTATTTGGCCGAAGAGCCGACGGACATATGACTGGTGGCCAGAATCGCTCCGACGCTCATATGACTGCCACCGACAAGTGACCGTCGCTTCGGAGCCGACTGTCACTTGTCCAGGGGCGCGGACGCGACACTCACTTGTCCCACCGATCCCGACGGTCACATGTACGGTCTGGGACCCGACGCTCACTTGATTCCCCCAGACTTAGGCAAAATTTTGGTCGAAAAATAAAAAATTTTCAAAAAATTATTTTTTTTCATCGCAAATCACCCTGGGATGCTACAGACACGCGGGAATGTGTATTTCTTCGCTATTTAAGCGGCGTAAGCCCTAAGATTGGTGTTCCCGGACCGGTCCGGGTGCCGAGCACGAGGCACTACACACAACCCTGGAATAACGTGCATTTACCGCATTTAATTTCACCAAGTCCTTTAGAAATTTCTTCTTTCAACTCTACATTTTATTAAAAAAGGCTTTTTTTTAGTTTTATCAATCATTCTCTTATGGATTATTGTTTTTCATGCATACTTGCATCTCGTTTGCCTGTTTTAGGTCCCAAAACCCTTGAAACAACCTCCCCGGCTGATTTTTTTACGCTTTCTTCGTTGGTAAAATCTCTTTTTCTATTCATTTTCGCACATTGTGCATTTCCAATGAGTTTTCGTCGTATTTAGCATGGTTTTGTGAGTAATGTGATATTTTTTCAGGTAACGGCGGCGCATCAACAAGGCGCGGATGTCGATTGTGACATCCCTAATGAAAGGTACCTTTTTACTGATTCTTTTTTTACAAAAAAAAACTTAGAAACTTAAAAAAAATTTGCCTAAGTCCGGGGAATCAAGTGAGCGTCGGGTCCCAGACCGTACATGTGACCGTCGGGATGGGTGGGACAAGTGAGTGTCGCGTCCGCGCCCCTGGACAAGGCTCGGATGCGACGGTCACTTGTCGGTGGCAGTCATATGAGCGTCGGAGTGATGCTGGCTACCAGCCATCTGTCCGTCGCCTCTTCGGCCAAATACAAGTGACGGTCGCCAAAGTCGCGACCGACACGCGATTCGTGCTGGCAGAGAAGTAATAATTTTTGAAAGCGATAATTTGGCGCGGTCCGGTTACGCGCTGTATTACCCGGGTCACGCCTTAGACAGCACGGCAAATAAGTCGCATAAGCAATTCTAGCGCCAACCCGTTTGGTCTTCTTACGTAGTTTTACGATTAAATTCAGTTAAATTAAGTTTTTACATGATTAAAACAGCCCCTAGTAAATTTAACTAGCAGGGCGTTAAATACAGGAGGGCGTTAAATACAGGGGGCGCGAAATACAGGGGGCGTTAAATACAGGAGGGCGTTAAATACAGGGGGCGCGAAATACAGGGGGCGTTAAATACAGGAGGGCGTGAAAGGGCGCGAAAGGGCGTTAAATACGGGTTGCCTTTTTATTCAACGTCCCACAATTCAGGAAACATTTTGATTGCATGCATTTGCAAGCTGAAAACGCTTTTTGATCGATAGCATTGTTTCCGATGTTGATCGAGGCTCAACGCTCTTTTTCAGGCTTTACAAATTTGGCTCTCATGATAAGTCATTCCACCTTTTCGAATTGCCGTATTTTTCATGGATTTTATGCTATTTTCTAGGGTTTTTTACCGGAAGAATGGGAGCCACAGAATCAACGCCGGCCGCACCGCAAGCCCCACCTCAGCCACCGCCTAGAACTGTAAGTTTTTGTTAGCATGAATTTTTCAATACATCTTTCTGATTCACAAATTTTAGTCGAGAACAGCCGAATCGCTCCCCTACAAATATGAACTCAACGGACAGCCATTAGGATGCGGGAGCTGTTTTTCGAAAGGTAAAAAATTTTCAATCTTTCCGAACTGTGTTTCAGCCGGGCTTCACATCGACATGCTGGACTGTGGGCACCCTATTTGCTTTACATGTAGCAATGGGTCAACCAGGTATTTAGAGTTGTATTTGCAAAGTAGTTTACAGGAGCATCCCGATTTTTCGAGGGAAAAATGATTCAAATAACCACTTTCGCCGCCTTTTTGAAATCTTAATTTTTAGATACTGCTCGTACTGCTATGCCACGAAACCGATCAGGCTTATTGATGCAGGTGATTCAAATGTTCAACGTTTTTCAACAATATTTGTTTTCAGTGAACCTTCGCCGGCTAAGAGCGTGGCAAGGCGGACAGAGCACGGCTACAACGAGCAACCCAAAACCAACACCCACAGCTGCTGCAGGCCCACCGAAAGCTGCTCCGGTACCCGAAAATCCGGCTCAAAATTCGGTAATTATTCCTTTTTTCAACACGTAAGTAACTTTGCAGAAGCCAACCGCGAGCGCGACCTTTGCGCCGTTTTTCAAATTCGAACAGCATGGGCGCCGGCTTGGGTGCAGCATTTGTCGCAGTCTAGATGCGGGTCCGTTTGATCACTTTTCGATGTCAATACCGTTTTTCAGACGGTATAAATATGTACATGGCCACGTGCGGGCATCCTGTTTGTCGAATGTGCCTTCCAAAAGCTTACAGGTGATTTATAGGCGGGCTTTTAATAAATCCTGATTTAGCGGCTGGTGCGCCAACTGTGGGAAACAAATTCAGTCGGTCAAGTCGACTTCACAAGGTTGGTAGATTTGTTGCAGAAAAGCGAGTCTAACCTTTGGGTTTCAATTTAATTTTGTTCACAAAAACCCATTTTAGACGACCGGCAACGTGTCCAAAATTGGCTGGCGACGACCGCACAGAATGCCAACAAGGTAAGATTTACCATTTCTGTCCCGTAATCTTTGATTTAGGCAACCACCACTTCTCCTTCAGCCCCAACTACCAGTCAAGTGCCAAAACCGGAAGTGGTATACCTTTTTTCAATTTTGCTAACGACTTTTAGAAGAAAACGGCGGTCGTCGCGCCAACAATGTCAACCACCCAAGCAGCTCCGTGCACAACTTGCGCGAACACGAAAGCGCTTGAGGTCGAGCTGAAGCTGTTAACCGATGAAAATGACGAGCTGAACACGCAAATTGAAGGGTTGCGGAAAGGACAGGTTGTCTCGTGAAATAATCTGTATTTTGTTTCTATTACAGGGTACGATGACAAAGCAAAGGAATGCTGAAAAAGCTGAATTTGAGGAGAAGGTCAAAAACTTAACTGAAGAAAAGAAAAAGCTCGAGTTACGCCTAACCGAGCAGGCCAAGCACCTGGAGAACAGCTTGAAGTATAACCAGCAAAAGGATGTGGAGGTAAATTTTGACTTGTACTTCTTATTATTCCGTGTTTTAGATAAAAAATCTGCGCGAGGAGCTGCAGCGCGAAGAGCTGAAATCAAACGAATTACGCGAGGCGAAGACGAAAATTGCTGCCGCCAGTCTGCAGCAAATCAAGGGGGTAAGCTTTTCTAGATTTTCAGATAATCTTTTACAGTTGGAAGGCAAGAATCTCCGCTTGACGAGCGAGATCCTGGAGTTGAGGGAAAGCGCCGTGACGGTAATGTTCAAAAATAGAAATAAAACTGTAATTTAGTACACTCGAATCCGGGTGAAAATTACGAATATTCCGATGGACGACACGCAAGAGGACGTGATCAAGAAGTGGCTCGACGGCGGGAAGCATTTGATTTATTGGGATGAAAGGTGAGTGGAGGGTGCTGACGTTTAAAATACGCCTTTTTAGCCCTGACATGTTCATGCGATTGCTCGCTGACGACACCCAATCTTGCGTTGCGTATCTGGCGAATGAGAAAGCTGCTCGAGAGGTTGGAAAAGTAAAAATTAAGTTTGAGCACTTTTTAGTTAAAAAACCGTTTCCACGATTCCGACGTTGAAGGGAGGAAACTTCAATTCGATTTGGAGATCCTGAAGCAAAAAGTTGAAGCAGAACGAAAGGTAAGCGGCTTTAATCAGAAAGTATTTGCATATTTAGTCTCTCCCTTCATCGTCGATCCCATCAAATTCCAATGCGTCGCAACAGCAAGTGCCGAAACCCTTCAACGATCAATCGAAACCGGCCGAAAAAGTGAAACCGCTAGGAACTATCAAAAAACCCGAGTTTGATAAGGTATAATAATTAGAAAAAATGTAATCTGTATCTAGAAACCCGCTCCTGCATCATCAACTCAAAGGCCATACGTACCGAGGGAACAACAGGTAAGGGTGTTAGGATAAAAATGGAAAATGGCTTCCCTAGCGTTTCAGTAAATGAAAAAGAGGTTTCCTTTTTAGGCCACCACGAGCCAAGCCACTTCAAAGAATTCAACCTCTACGCCGACTCCCCCAAAATCTTCTACCCCCGACCCAAAAGCAACAAATGTTCTCTCAATTCGCGGTTTCGGCAATGAAGCCACGGACAAGGAAATTATTCAATTGGTCGATGGTAGCACGCAGCTCTTCCAGAAGAAGGATGGAAAGTGAGTTCCGTTATCCTTTACCGTTCTCTAACTAAATTTTAGGCCCCGCATCGAAAAGTACCCCGGCTACCACCTTGTGTACATGAACACGCCGATAATCGCCGAAAAGGTATTGTCGCTAATCCTTAAAAATATTCTTTATGTCGCTAGGTTTTCAACCGTCTCCAAGGCAGGACCTACAAATGGGGCAAGCTGCAGGTCAGCTACCATCTGTAGAAGAATAGCCTACTTATTTTTTGCTCTACGTCCCTTATTTTGTGTTTTTACTGCCAAGATTACGCACCTCATTCTCTCTGTGATACCATTTCGTGCTTTATTTTAGTGCGTCTGGCAAAATGGCAATAAACACGTGTGTGGAAGTGTTTGTTTTAAGAAAATTACGGGCCCAATTAGCCCAATAAATATTTTATAAAGAGCGCAACTAATCAGAATTGCGGTGATAGCCATACTAACAAGATGCAAAAAAATATGGTTTACGTTCGCGAAAGCTGAGAAAGGGCGGTGATCGCCGTCCTGGCTGTCAATTCGCGCCAAAAAGATACGAAAATTTTGACAGGTGCTTGGGAAGTTCGTGCTTCCGCTTACTGACATTATTACTCGACGGGTTTTCATTTTTAGCAAAATTAGTGTATGTTCTAGCATAGTCCAGTTTAGTATATTATTTGCAGTATACTACTTTAAAATGTCGATTTAATTTGTGCTGTAGTTGTTATGTAGTTAGTTTTTATGTTGTTGCTATCTGTCCGCACTTGTTTCAGGGCTGTTTTTGTTTATTTTGGCCCCGGCTGCTTTGTTTATTTTAACGGTGCATGTCCCAAATTTTCTCGCGTAACGTCGCCTGTCTGGCGATGCGCACTTTTCCAGACTGTTCTAGCGTAACCGCAATCCCGGCTAAGTGGCTGCTATTAATGTCCGCGCTTGTCTCACTTCACCCTTTGCTAGAGATTTATAGAGATCTAGAGCATCCTTGTCTGGAAACAGGTTTGGCTATAGAAATTGCAACGCCCACCCATTTCACACCTACATAACATGAGCCAAATTTTGACACCTCCCTACCACACGCGATTAGAGGCAAGAAGAAACTGACAGTGCAGATTTTGATCCATGCGTTGCATAAGGTCAGCGAGGCGTCGAGAGAGAGATAGAGAGAGAGAGAGAGAGAGAGAGAGAGAGAGAGAGAGAGAGAATGAGAGGGAAACTGAGTGAGACCGCCAACCAATGGCCCTAAATAATTCATGGAAATTGTTGCTCCAATTATTTTTCCGTTATCCATCTTTAGATAGGTTTTCTAGGTGACCGCGTTGTCTATTTTTTAATAACCGACCACATATCAGTTAGTCCTATTTCTCAATTCAACAAGAACGGGACTAACACCAGCTATTTTTAGCTTCTCCGAATCGCCCCGCTGGCCTGGGGACTTTATTTTTGTCTGCCCACGCACCGGGAATGGCCGGATTTTATTGATGTCGGCAATACACTTTTTATTGATTTTGGAGCTCTAGTTTGCTATTTTTTATTTATGGTTGATTAGAAACCGGATGGAGACTAGAAATCGTGGTGTCGCAGGTCAAACGTGCCGCACACTTGACCTATCCTGGCGTAATCGGATTAATGAATGGCGTTCCAGCATTAACAATAATCTCTTACATGGTCATTATTCTCTGTCTCCTTCAAGATTTTTGCAAAAATTCTACAGCCTTACGTTTTACTGAGACGGATCTCGACTCCAAATGTGCAAAATTCTCTCTTCGAATCGTACAATTTAGCTGCAATTTCCAGTGTCCTAGGTTAGCCTCAGGTTTGGTAGCTCCGTGACTGCCCGGAAATCACTAATTTCAGGCCGGAAGTTGGCAGACGGCTTTTTGCAGTGATATTTGCAACGAGTGGGTGAAAAGTCTTGTTTTACATGGCCATTCTCACATTATTTCGAATTTCGAGGCTTATTTCTGGCCAATTATGCAAATATGGTGCAGTAGTACCATGTTTATAATGCGAATTTTGCATTCAACCTACAATTCATTTTGCAGTTTGTAGCTGGGAATAATATGGAAATCCTCGCTGATTCAATTATTAATGCTTGGAAATTGACACTTTTATTGTAAACTTTCTCATTATGAGTCTAATTTTTTTCGTTTCTAAACTCTGCTTTTTTCATCCAACGAAATTCGTAAGCCTCTATAGGATTTTTGTATTTTTTACCCGATAAAATCCCATAAAAACGAGAATTGAGCAGCATAATCCCAAATTTTTTACGTTTCTAGCAAATGTGTACGCTAGCTGTATAACATCCGGATACCTAAATGATCCCCAACTCCTCAAAACCCGTGGCCAGCTGCTGACCCCCGGGCCCAAGCAGATGATGGTTGATTTATGTCAAGCAACGCCTTCCGTCCTGTCACCTTACTTTTTATGGGGGTGGGACGAGTGCCGGACCTGCCATTTGCATAAACACACTTTTGGCTGCGGGCGCTCCTCCCTTCCACGAAATCCCTGCCCAACTTCATATATTCAAAGGCCTTTATATGCGAAGCCTCTGCATCAGCTAAAAAAAATTATTTTGGTTTTCGTCGTTTTCCTTGATTTTAAAGGGGTCGTGAAGACATAATTTGCAGGGTTCTGTATAAAATGTGTGCTAAAAAACAATAAAAGATGGAAGACCATGAATGCAAACTTGCAAATTTCATTAGAAACGTCGGAAATTAACGAAGCTTCCTAAACTTTAGTTCTTAAATAGACTAAACATCAAAAATTCTGACTAAAAAAAATTAATTCAACAGAATTGCCCGTCCCCAAGCTGCCCCAATCGTGGATGCAATTTTGGGGGGACGTTGCACCTTGCCTGTTTGGGGGTCCGGTTGGGGGTGACAAATGTGGCACCAACGCCACACCATACTCAAAGCCGCCCGCCCGGTGGGTGCCATTTAGCACGGGGCCCTTCGGAAATTGATCCCAGATCAAAGCCGGCGATGGTCGGGCAATTAATAAACAATTGGTGCCAAATTTAGGCGGATCGGTTCGAGTTTATGACGCAAGCAAGCAAAGATCCATGTGGAAAACGTTTTTTCGACGCAAAAGTATCTTTTTTGGTTTTTTTTTTGGTTGATACCTATCGTTCTTCGAAAAAATCCGAATCGTAATTAGACGCTTTGGTGTAACAAAGTGTAATAAGCACCGTAATGTAGTTCGACACCCAGTTGCTGTAGGTTTTATTTTACTTTGAAACTAGTATTTGTCTTCGCAAATCTTGGCTACTCTCTCTATCACACTCACGCTCTCTCTCTCTCGCCGCGTATTTTTTACGTACGCATTTCACGGGCGTACTACCGCCAAGATCTCTGCTAGCTTGCCTTCAGAAGGCTCTATTATTATGGCTAGGAGCTGACAAGTTGATCAAGGTATGCAAAGTGTCTAAACCAATCTCTCCAGATTTCTCTCTCACTCTCTCTCGCTCTCTCTCTCTCCCAGGACAATGGACAGTTCCATTCGACACGAACCCCACCAATTTTTCATTCACCCTGACGGTATAGTCCCCTTTCGGCTATTCACACCGTAATTGCGACCTTGGCCGGGGGGCGTGCAACATTCCCTCCCAGGGCACAGCAGATGTCACACATCGCTGTGGGCAGCCACCATGCCCGGCGGCCTCTTTGCACGACCACCCTATTTCGTTCCAGTTTCCAATCTACCATCCGCCCCTCAACGCTTTTTTCGTACCCACGTTCTTGGGCCGTGTTCGTAACCTTTTTGGGCGGCCTTTGTGTGGCCGTTTAGTCGTCATACAGGCCTTTTTGAGGGCGCCTATTTACGTTATTCACCAGGGGCCGGCGAGGATGTTTTGTGCGACGTTTCACCGGCGGGGTCTTCGTTTCTTTCTTTTTGCTATCTTCTCTCTGGTTCTCTCTCTCGCTCTCTTTCGCTCTTTCTTTATCTAACACATGCGCTCTCTGGCGGCGTAAGTTCTTCGTAACTTTATGTAAATTGCCCAAACCTTATGGTGATTCCGTTAAAATCTCCGCTAGCTTGCCTTCAGAAAGCCGTTTTTATTAGAGTTAGGGGTTGAAAATCGGTCAAGGATTGCAAGATATTTAAATTGATATCTCTCTCCCTCTCCATCGCTCTGGAGATCTGTATGCTCTGTATCTCTATGTATCGTTCTGACTCTATCTCTCTCACTCTCTCTGTCTCTAGCTCTTTCACTCCCTCTCCCTCTCTCTCGCTCTCTATCTCTCGCTCTCTCTCGCCCCAACCCCCCCCTCTAGCTCCCTATCTCTTTCGCCTGGAAGCTATATGTTGCTTGAGTCCTCATCAATCACTTCCGGTTTTCCTACTCGCTAACGTGTTCGTGACCCCGCACTGCATAGAAGTATCGTTTTTGCTGTCCTACCACACATATGCAAACATCAAGAACACCGAAATGCAAAAAATGGCCCGGACAGCCGCATACTAGCCGTCGGTTCCTGTCCAAATTGGTCTCAAAGCTGTCTCCATCCCCCTATTCGATCCACTTGACCAAAACGCGGAGCCGCTTATCTACGGTGGACGATCTTACGGTTCGCACGCTTTTCGCAAAGTGCGCATTTTAACGACGACTCGTGGTGACTGTAAATATTTTTTTCGCCAAATTTTTGTTTTTGGCGCTCCTAAGCCGGTATTTTCAGGCAAGGTTTACTTTTGTAGCTTTTTGACAATGACGGCAATTTTGCACAATTGTAAGGGAATTTACCGGATTTTCTGATTTAATGATTTCGATACTTTAATAGGTTAGCATTACGCTATGTATAAATAAAAACGTTGCGACAGCGGCAGAAACATCCAAAATATTTGAGGGAACCCCGGATTATCCAGGTCACTGCTAATTATCCGGTCAGATGCTTGAGATTGCATGGGTATTTTTGGCCATTCAGTGCTGTCGGCTTAAGACAATACTGGTCTCGACACTAGTATAATCTTCTAGTCGACCACTGTCTCTCTCTTTCTCTCTCCCTTTCTCCATCTTTCACTCTCACCTCTAGCCGAAGGCAATACCGCTTCATCTTGATCCCCAGGCAAAAAGTGCTTCATCGGCTTTTCATGTTCCAACATGTCTGAGGTCGCACTCTTATAAGCCTCTAGTGCCAGGTTCATATCTTCTCCGGCTCGAGCAAAAGGGTATGGATTATTTTTTCAAGTTTTTCGCTCTCTTTCTCTCGCTCTCTCTCACTCGCTTTCTCTCTCTCACTCGCTTTCTCTCTCTCTCTCGCTCTCACTCTCTCTCGCTTTCTCTCTCTCCCTCGCTCGCTCTTTCTCGCTTTCATATATCTTTCCCTCTCTCTCTCTATCTATCTCTCTCTCTCTCTCTCTCTCTCTCTCTCCCCTCTCTCTCTCTCTCTATCGCTCTCTCAAAAGTGCAACCGCGAGAACACTTTGGAAAGTATTAGCTAATTGTCCTAATCCCTCCCCTGGCATAACGGAGCCATCGAAGTCTTCAGGTCCGGATTTTCCTAATCTTCGCTTTACTTTTTTGGATCTGTGTATAGAATTTTCTCTTATCCTAATGGTTATCGAATTTCCAGCGCATTAATCTACCACCGCTACGTAGCCTCAGGGTAAAAAATGTTTTATCAAAAGTTGAGTTCGTATCTCTCCGTGTCTGGGCTATCAGACTCAAGGAGCCCGCGGCAAGCAGCTGCTTGTTTTGATAAGCCGGGTTTTCGATGGCAGATTTCTGGAAATTCCTTGAATTGGCTTCAGTAGCTTGTGTGCTTCGTTTTCCTGTGTCAGTTCTACAGATTTACCGTTTTCCTTATTTTTCCGCATTAAATGGATTATATAGTTTGTTCTGGTGTACGTTTTGGGTAGTTAAAAATATTAAATACAAAAATAAATAGGCAACAAAAATTTTCGTACTTAAAAAGTTGTTTTTAGGCAATTTCAACAAGATAGTCGAGGTAATATATCTTACAATTTTATTAACCCTCTTTTTATTCTTATTCTAAACGATTTTCGTGTGTAAAATATGAAATTTCTGCGTATGTTAACCCTAAAACCTGTATGTTGCGAAGGCACATCGTTTGATGCGTAAAAAGTGCAGGCACCCCGATGGGACGCCAATAGTTTTTGCTAGGGGCACGCAAGGCACTGGAGAAATAGAGATCTGGAGCAAAAAAGGCAGAAGGAGCCCCAGCACGCCCAGTCGAGCGCTCCTCTTTTTGCTTCTCCTCCCATCCCCTTTCGCCTCTCTTCCGCTTTTTACATCCCGCCCCGGCCACTGCACACTCACTCGCACAGCGGGTGGAAATTGCGATTTGCCTTGCCCGCCGGCGCTCGGTGTCGCCTGGTGTATTGTTGCGTACTGAATATCCTTTAACAATCCGTTTCCCTATCCACAAAGCATACGTTCTTTACACTAACTGTCGCTTCTTGAACTTGAACAGTCTTCTAGAGTTTTGGTTAATCACGTTAATTTCTTAATTATCAGCCCTTTCGCTTTGAAAACACTATTTCCGCACTGAATAGGTTTTTTTCGGGGGTATATTTCATTACCGTTCACTTCCATAAAATGCTTCAATTCCAGAAAAAGTCCAAAAATTTTTTAAACTTTATAAAATGTTAGCTTTGCACCACATCCCTACTCCTTTTTTGAAGGGATCTTTTCAAATTTTAGGCTTTCAGATTTCATTTCGGTCAATCTGCACGCGGTTCTTTGGCTTCAAATATCAATTGTGGAAGTTACGCTTTATAACCGTGAATTCCGCTTTCTAGCTTTTCCTAACCCTATTTGTTTGAGGTTTTGCTGACGGAGTAGTTTTGGTCAGACACCCTAACTTTATCTTTTTCAAGTTTTATCTTTCTCTTTCTCTGTCTCTCTCTCTCGCTCGCTGCCTCTCTCCCTCTCTCCCTCTCTCTCTCTCTCTCTCTCTCTCTCTCTCGCCCTCTCTCTGTCTCTCTTTTGCGCTCTCTCATTCAAGAACAGTCTCTAAAACGCCAACGGCGCCCCTCCCAATTTTATGAGACTAATTTCCGTGGTCTGTGACCGCGATCTGCACCCTTTCAAGGCCGCGCTCCACTTGATTTATTCAGATTTGCTCCTTTACGTTTCTCATCTGAGCCTCAAATCTTGCCAACAGCTCCAAATAACGAAAAACATTTTCAGGTGGCGTACTGTAGCTTAGAAACGCGCTCTCATTCTCCATGAAAAAGATAATGCGTGTTGACCTCGAACAACTATGGAATAATCGGAGCGCACCGGAACAAGTAAGCCGTGATTTGAATTTCCGTACCTAAAACAGCTGTAAAATAAGACGGTAAACTTTTTATAGGAATCAGACGATGACTACATTGTGGAGGATGTTGTTCGCGGTCTGGTGGAAAAGGTCAGTTTTTATATATGATGCTAGCGCTGTAAAGTTGATTCAAAAAGCAAGAAACCATAAAAAGGTGATAGCTTTCAGAATTCCGGGCTGGACCAACCGGAAGAAATAGAAGGCGCATCTACATCATCAGATCGCTCCGAGGAGGTGGGTTATCATGGACTTGCTATCCCTCTCTTCTCCCTCACTTTCTCTCTCTCTCTTTCTCTCTCCATCTCTCTTGCTCACTCTCTCTCTCTCTCTATCGCTCTCTCGCTCACGGCTTATAAGTTTTTTTTCCAGGAAAACAGCTCGACGAAAAACATTGCCACCCCCGCTATTTCCATCCGCTCCACAAGCTTGAGAAGTGTTAGTTTTTGAACCCTTTTTAGAACGAAGCGAGTTCAAGCTCTAAATTTTTCGTTTCAGGAGGAAGAAGATGATTTTCACACCCCAGATCAGTCAATTCTGTCGGAGCAGGTAAGCAGATTTTTTGGATTAATAAATGCCTGATTTTTCCAGGAGCCCGAGCGATATTTCTCCCCGGATAAAGAGTGCCGGCCGCAAAATCACGAGAAAGAGGTAACAAAAGTCTTCTATGCTGACTTCAGCGTTAAAAAGCAATATGAAACTGATACATTAATTTAATAAATTACAGAAGGCAACTCTCGATGCGATTAAAAATGTGCAGGAAACCAAGGAATTCTACTCATCTGAACCCTCCACGTCAGTACCGGAAACGGTACGTTTTTCGAAGTATCATTTTCAACGACATATTTTAATTATCGACTTTCTTAATTAATAGAAGATAGAGACGAAAAATAGTCCTATTAAAATTTTAAACGAAGTTCCCTGTTTGTAGCCGGCGAAACGTGATCAACGCCAACACAGCTCGACGGCAGAGGAAGATAGCGTAAGTCTCAATATAAATTCATTTTTGTAATTATAACTTACTTGTCTTATTACAAGACGTTGAAATTATTATAGATTAACGGCATTTTCAGGAAATGGCGCGTCAGAGGACGTTGCAAAAAGTTCAAAGTCGGTGGCAAGCTGATCCTCCGAAGGTAAGTAGCTTTGCTGTTAACGAAGACGTACTACGCATTAACTACGTCCACGCATCGATTTTGTGGTACAGAAACAGAAAACAGAAGAATATACAGCCAAAAGAAAAGCAAAAAAAATGTTAGCTGCAACAAAAATTTTAGTGGGCGACGAAGCCGAAAGATGCTCAGGAAGACGAATTGGCTCAGGGGAAACCACCGAAGGAAGTGGGTATTGATAGAGAAACATAGTAAATACACCTTAATTAGTTGTTTGAAGTCTATATACCGCCTTGTGCAATCATATATCAAACTTTAAAACAATAAAAGCGTATAGGGTGTCCCAAAAAACCTACCCTCCTAGCTGTTCGGAGAAATCTGGGATATGGATGATTCTTTACACCATTGGAAAGCCCCCAAAATGGCGGGAAAAGCCCCAGCTTGTTCTTTTCCAGAATCATTTAGCCCTCGACTGTTGTCCAACGATTTCCTCAAAAATCAGGAAATCAACAACGTCCTTTAGCTCCAGATTATCAATTAACGTGCGGTTTTTGAGGGATTTTGGTCTGAACATTCATGAATCAATTGTCGTATTGACCAACAAAATATGCTTGTTTTCTCGCTTTTCCAAGAGCGTTCAATAGATACCTAAATCGTCAAAATCGGTCGCTGCTCCGGTCCGCCAGAGGGGGGCAATTTTTTTGGGACACCCCGGATGTCAACTAACATTTTTTTTTAAGGAAGATGAACCGGTGTTCACATCCGACGAAGACTTTCAATTATTCATCCGCGAGCAGGGCTGCCTCGTCCACGTTCGGCGCATCTACAGCGAGCTGATGGGAAAGGACATACCACAGATGTTTGAGGCAGAGATTAACGGCGTGGTGCACAAGCCGGTCGCTGGAAAGTTTCACAAGCGGTTGGTTTTTGGGCGAGCTTTGAAATGTTAGTAGATTTTTGCAAAGCAGCAAAATAGCGCTATCGGCATTCGAGCACAAACAAAACCCATGTTAAGGATTCGATACCTGTCCAATATGACATGGGACTTTTGCGGCTGGGCGGTGTTGCACTATGAAACAAGATCTATTGCACGAGAGGTGCGTTTGGTTCTATCGTTCGTGGTTCGGCTGGTATCTCTATCAGCATTATGTATCACTCTTTCTCTCTCTCACCCTCACTTTGACTTTCTCTCTCCGTGCCGAACATAGGCAAAGAATTTCAGATCGTGCGCCTCTACCACGACACCGACCGGTTCAACACAGGCGTTCCAGTTCATGTTTCTCTGGGGTAAGCATTTTAGTGGAATTTACTTTAAAACACGACTTAGTTAATGTATGCTAACTAATGGCCCATTTTAGAATACCCAAAAAGCAAATTCTCGATCTGTTTCCTGAGGTTCACGCAGCGATTTCCAAGCCCGATCTTGATCCGAGTGGTCCATGTGAGTTTTAATTAAAATGTAGACAAATCGTAATGTAATACCTGAAATGCGTTTTTCAGTCCCCTCGCGCAACCGCCCCGTCATTGTCCCGAACGTCGCTTCCAGAAAAAGTGGGTTCGCGCTGGGCACGATTCGTCCGCCGCCTGCCAATGCTTTGTCTGTCAGGAATTCTAGTATTGCTAACGATTCGGCCGATCCGACTAATCCGGCTATTGCTGGCTCAAGGCTTACTCCAATTCTTGCTAAGTCTGCTTTTTCTGCTAGCCCTGTCACTACTCCGGCTAAGCCTGCTGCATTCACTGAGACTGCTTCTTCTGCTAAGCCTGCTTCATCTAGTGAGCATGCTTCCTCTACTAATTCTACTACTACTCCCGCTAAGCCTGCTTCTACTCCAGCTAAGCCTGCTTCGTCTGATAAGCCTGCTTCGTCTACTGAGACTGCTGCTGCTAAGCTTTCTTCCCCCACAAAGCATGCCCTAGCCCCAAAACCTATTCCAAAACTTTCGGAGATGCTAAACAATTTTCCGATACCTCCACCTAACCGCTTTTTACCCCCATTTCCGTTTCCTCCCCCTTTCCCACCCATCCCATTAATGCGACTACCACCCCGGAGGCTTCCGGTCCCAGGGTTCCCCTATGATACTCAGATCCCGCTTGGCTTCTTCCCTGGGCCACCCTGCTTCGGACCCCCAGGCTCAATTCCGAACTTTCCAGTCACCGCCACGAACCCCAACTTTCGGCAGCAAATCATGGAAGACCTCAAAGGCAAAGTAATGGCCAATTTGGCCTCATCCCCCCGGCCCAACCCTAAGAACACCCCCAACCCGCCCGGACTCCCAAAGCCGCTGGCTGTCGAAGTGCTAAAGGCTCAGCAGGAACGGCTAAAGAAGGAGCTTGACAGGGATAAACCGGAACCTAAGAAAATTGAGCTCGTAAAGCCAAAGAATCTGGGCTCGGTCCTAAAGGAGCAGGTCCTCCGCCAGGATCCCCAACTTGAAAAGATCCCAAAGTCTCCGGAACCTGGAATTCTGAAAACTCAAGAGCTAGCGAAGCCTACTAACAAGCTGAAGGAGCAGCTAAACGGACTAAAGCTTGAGTTAGAAAAGGAGAACCCGGCAATGTCACCCCTTGGCTTATCCCCAAAAACTGACGAAGCTCATCCAAAAATTGCAGATCCGGCGTCATTGGGTCGGGAGCGTGAGGTTCCGCGGCGGGAGCCTGCGCAACGAGGCCCTGAACGTCTCGACCATGATGTTGTACCCCAATCCCTAGAGATACGAGTACTTGAACCTACGCAACGAGGTCCAGAACCGCGACTCCAGGGCGTTCAACCCCGAGCTCGAGGAGAGGGTGTCCAGGAACCTATGCGTCATTACCCTGAACGTCTCGAGCATGACGTTGTACCCGAATCCCTCGAGAGCTGGGGCCCGGAACCCACGCAGCACTACTCCGAACACAGAGATCGAAGGGAATCAAACTCGACCCAAAGCTCGATCCCAGCGCCGCCCGGATTTGAGCACGCCGTGGCGAGACGGCAAAATCGGGACGAAGATCGAGACGCTCGGAGGAGAGATTCGGAATCTAGCGCCGGGCCACCAGGTTTGATCTACCAACAACGGAAGCAGGAGGATGAGGGCTACTTTGAGTCGAGGCACACCAGCGCGGATAGTCTACCGCAGCCACAACCTGGTAGGTGAAAAGTATAGTGAGATCTCAAAAATTCTCATTAAAGTCTGGTAGGGCAAAATCCGTACTTTAATAAGTATTTGGCCGGGTTTTAAGGTAATAAGCGAGGTTTTTTGAGGCTTTGATTTGAATCCAGAGCCATTTTTAAAGTATGTAAAGCATGGTAGTTCTACATAGTTTCCATAAGTATTGAGAGGTTGGAAGGGTTTTTGCCTTAACTCCAAAATCAACTCTATAATGGATTTTATAATGTTGTTTCAACCCGGTATCATTTTATTAAACCATAATTTTTTTTTCGACTCAGAATTTTTTTTGCATTTTGCTTACATTTGCCGCCTTGGGGCTATTTTTCTATTTGCGCATGCATATTTCCATTAGCGAAACTTTTTTTCGAGCTTTTGAACCCAGATTAATAAACTAAACAAGAAATTGAGATATAATAAATTATATTCAAAACCTTGTTGAATTTACAGTCTACGACACGAAAGCCATCTGGGTGCACCGCCTGCCCGGCAACTACGACACGCAAGCGGTGGCCGAGCGCCTCCGAATCCGTGAGGACGAGATTGAGTTCGACCATACAGAGTGGGTTCTATTGTTTTTTTTTGGGAAATAAAACAAAACCGGGATTTTTTAAAGAATACGACGTGGATCATTTTCGAAATGCCGAGATTCATAACGGAAATATCGAATTTCGAAAATCATAAGAAATTCAATAATCTAGAAATTTTATAAGGCCAAATTTGCACCATGTCAAATTTCCATAATATGGAAAATCATAATTTCGAAATACAAAATGCCCGATCCAGAAAGTGGAAATCGTAGAATTTGGGTATTCGTAATGTCTGCATTTTTGCTATGGCATTTGGGACTTCGACATTCAGAAAGCTCGACATCGTGAAATCGCAGAATCCTCATCTTTCCGCATGACGAAATTCGGCACCATAATTTTTAATATTTGGATCGCAAGGCCAATTACGCGCTTCCAGACCTCAGATTGTGCTCCGCTACGATCCCTACGACGATCGCATCAGCGCCCTCATCTACTTTTTGCATCAAAATGTTGCCAAAGAGGTGAGAATTTTTATGATAATTTACAGAATTACAATTGTTTGGTCAAGATATCCAAAATTCAAGCCGATTACTGTATTTTTTGCAGTTCCACGCCGGCTGGCACAACCAAATGCTGGACGGGAAAATCCTTGAAACGGCCTACCGGAAGTGCTAAACCTTTTTGTGTTTTTTTTCATTCCTATTGTGATTTTTTGCAATTTGATCTGTAGCTAGCTCCACGTTTTTGTACATTTTTGGTACGCTTTCGGCGTTCACTACGATTGTTACGTCCTATACCTTTGTCTTTGGCATTTTTCATCTACAGGGTAATTGATTTTCTGTCTTTCCACCCATTTGCCTTTGATATTACGGAACTGACCTCACTACATCGATCCGATTTCCAGGCTCATTGACTTGTATTTACTCATTTTTATAAGCCGGGTATATTTTACATGCACATAATTCGACTGAATAAATTTTTATAATCCCGAAAATTGATAAAATGATTTTTGACGCTGCCCAAAAACCATTAGGTTTCTCTAATTGAGATCAGATGCCCGATGGTTTCTTCAACCCCAGAAACACCTGCTTAGACTGGGATCGGCCATGAAAATGCAGATAAATTGAAAAACCATGGAAAGCGGTGCCGAAATCTGACGGTAACGGAAAGGCCACCTGCCAGCAATCAGCCAGACCCTTCCAAGTTCATGCCTGGCCAATTGTTGCCCATTTTCACGGCAGAGATCGATGATTACCTATGAGGAACCAGTAGTATACATTGGCTGCATGACGAGTCTTGCTGTTATTGGCATTTTTGTAAACGTATCGACGCTGTGGATCATCTACGCGGCGTCACCGGCGACGATGAGAAATTATAAATGGGGACTATTTGTATATCAGGTAGGTGTGGGTGGTCTCGCTATCATAATTAAAATGGCAGGTTGCATGGCCAGAATTTCGGAAAATTCCAGATGTGCTCGACGAACTTTGAGCTGTTCATCCATGCCATAGAGCCCGAGCTTTTCTTTCCGCCGTTGGCTTTTCGTCCCCATGGGTTTTTGTTGCGACATGCCGATCCGAGGGGCCTCTTTGTAAGATCTTTTTTTTGTGCTTGAAGTGTTTTCACTCAAGTGAGAGTTTCGATTATTCGATTACCAATATATTTATCTATTTTTTGGACACGCTGTTTTATGGCTTGGAAACAAAAATTTTTGGACTCTCAGGTGAATAAATAAATAATAAATTGTCCAGTTTACAGTTGGTTTTGATTAACTTAAATTTAATCGGTTAACGCTGCAGTAAAAGCGTACCAGATGCCGATGGGCGGTATATTAAAAGTGCAGAAATTAGGTCTTTTGCTTGCCGGCGCCGGAACATAAATGGCCATAGTTTTGCAAAAGTTCCCTAGTACAACAAATGTGGAATTTGGAGTAAGTTTCTGGCTGCTTTTTTCTGGATATTTATCATGTCGGGGCGGCTTCTTCTATACAACCAAACCTCCGCTCCCCCCAGGGAATGCCGGCCTGCCATCAGCACCTCTTCATAGCTGTCAAGGGCAGCGTGTCGGCATTCCCGGAATCATCCCCAAAAGCATCCATTTTCTTACCGTAGTTGCGCTTAAAGTTAAGTTAAAGCCGTCAAAATTATTTAGTATATTTTTACGAATCCATGGACTTAATTGTAGGTGAAGCTGTGAAAAATGGCTGAATAAAATACGTTTTTTCCAGTAGGGCTACGCAAAAAAGAACGGAGCACTATATTTATTAAGATCACCTTTGCCTTCCTTCTTTTTTCCACATGCCATGCGAGTGGTGGCAGCGCAATTAAAGTTGCAATTTTCGCCTCCGGGCTGGCACATTTTTTTCGGGGACGGGCCAGGGGACCCATTTTCGTGACTGGACGAGGCCATTGTTCCAAACAGAGGCATTTAGTAGGTTCTGGGCAGAAGTTTTCTATGTTACTGGATTCGCGTAAGGATTTATTCTCTCTCTCGCTCTCTCTCTCTCTTACGCTCTCTCTCACGCTCTCTCTCTCTCTCTCTCTCTCTCCTCTCTCTCTCTCTCTCTTTACGCTCTCTCTCACGCTTCTCTCTGTTTGTTTCTCTCTACTCTCACGCTTTCCATCTCTCTCTCTCTCTCTCTCTCTCTTTCTGACACCTGGCCAGTTCCCGTTAGTGCCTTACAAATGTAAGCACGACATCATACTCCGCTTTTCAAGGCTGTTTCGTTTCGAATTATGCGAAAACGGAGCTGAGAAAACCCAAGAAATTGTTCAATTGTTATTGCTGCCACTTCGAAATTTTTGAAATGATTTTTAATTTTCTTTAGCCGTTTCTTCCGGTTTTTTTTTGCAAAAAACCCTCTGTTCCACACGCCGATCCCTCACCGCCAGATTTCAATCTACCCCCCCCGCTGAACGTCCGTTATTGTTGTCCATCTTATCGCCGTTGACCCCAACGGACGGGACTTTTTCACACCTGTCCACCCAAAAACAATGGCCCGGGGCGAGGACGAAGATAAATCGCCGGTCGACAGCAACCCCTAAATATTGTAGATTTTATCCGATAGATTAGAACAAGATAAGGGGTAAGGGGTAAAAGTGTGCCAATGAGTCAAACGAAAATAAAGATTCAGTAGCTCTAAGGGCCAAAACTTTTGGGACTTTAATCTGGCAAATTCTCGCCATTTTTGCACTCAATCGAGTAAATCGGATTGATTTTAAATTAAAAATACTATTTCAACTATACTGATATACAACTATACTATATTGCAACTATTTCAAATTAATGTATTAAAATTTGATTGACAAAATTTATTGCGCAAGGATTGACTGAAAAAACCATCATGATGCGTCAGCCTTTGCTTAGGCTTAATTCAGCACAATTATGCAAAGCTTGGAACAGAGTGCAGTCCAAGACGGGGTCAGGGTTGAAAAGTCGCGAAGCGGCTTTTCAAGCCAGATTGACAAAATTTATTGCGCAAAAATTGACGGAAAAAACCATCATGATGCGTCAATCGGAGCTTTGCGGAAACTGAAAGCTCGTGATTAGTTTGACTAATGCGTCACGTGTCAACACTGATAAATGCACTTCGACATTTGTAAGTGTTCGATGACAGATACCCGCATTTTTAGAGGTATTCGGACCAGGAAACGTAAGATAACAGATTTTTATTAAACTAACCTCCTATACCCTTAGATCTTTTCATGGCAATTCCTTGCATTCCTATAAGATCTCAGCGGGGTCTCGCCAAGATTTTTAATAGTTTTTCGATCAGAAAAGCCGGGTTTCAGCCATTTTTGTTGCGCCAAATTTCCCGTCGTCTGGCCAGGAAGTTAAATACCGGGGGGGGGAGCGAACATGAATTCGATGGGCCATCAGACGAGACACGACGGCACATGTCGTCGTTTAGCCAGTCGTGGGGGCTGATGGCTGTCCCTACCCACAAATTACCCAAATTGTGCCCTCACTCCTGGATGCCCCGGGGTAGGGGTAGAAGAAACTTGAGACGTTCGGGGCTCCTGATGGGCGGATGAAGACATGCACATGTGCGCTTCTGACTTGGGCTCTAGGCTTTTGGGGCTTTGGCTTTGCGGGGTATGGGCGCTAGAAATCTGTTTTTGCTCGCTCTCTTTCGCTCTTCCTCTCTCCCGCTCCCCCCCTCTCTCTCTCTCTCTCCTCTCTCTCTCTCTCTCTCTCTCTCTCTCTTTCGCTCTCTCTAAAAAACATACCTAGAAACCAATAAAGTATGTAAAAGGCTTTTAAAAAGTAAATATGCTAAAATAAAATAAATTTTTATTAGTTTATTTACCTTTGGCTTTGGGGGCAGTTTGAGCTCCCGTTCGACGGAGTCCCAAGCTACGGCTAGCTAGCGACGTAGCAACAAAGCCCATCAAGACTAGTAAGAAAGATATTCGAATAAGAGCAAAAAGCCAAAGGTCGAGCGGCACTTGTAATAGCCGACAATTGGAGCTTATTGTTTATAAAGTCCATTCCCAGGACGACCGCCTCAGGGACGTTGTTCCAAGAAGAACTTCGTTGATTTTACATTTTTTCTACGTATGATTAATCGCTATGAACTGGCTGAACTGAACAAGGGAGGCGCTTTTCGGAAGGAGGAGCTAAAGTTTTTTGGCTTCCTGTATTTTTCTGTATTCTTAAAACCCTAATACCATTTATTCTTGTGACTGTAGTATCACTTATTCGATTCCAAAAACGGAAGCTGTTCATCAGTCGATATTCCCGACCCCTCAACAGCATAACTTGCTTGCTTTATTGAATATGTATTTCGCATTTTTTTCGGTTGAGACGTGAAGCGATTTTTCATCGAACGTCGTCATGAACTAAAATGTTTTTTGATTTTTACAAAGATGGTGAATATTTAAACTCTTTGGAAAAACCTACTCCACCCCTTTAAACAACCCTGAGGTGGCGTAAGATAATCCCGACAATATGTTCGAGACATTAGTGGCTGTGGCTGAAATTGATATACATTAAATCAGTCTAAAGCCATTCACCGCGTAGTTTTGGAAGCGTATGCCAGGAACCCGACTAAAACTAGCTCTGGCGAAATCATGATTGCCGAAACATAGGACGAGAACGATGAATAGAATTCCCATTTCAGTGGCCAAATAAAGGCAAAGTTGTTGCATTTTATAGCGGAAGTGAAGTCATTGGCAACTTTTTGTTTATAAATTATTTAATGGTTTTGCACCCCCCCCCACGATGTTCGTCAAAGTACGTTTAAATTTGTAAACAATTTTGGTTGGGTACTTTTGAATCCCGGTGATTCATTTAAAAAATCTCGGCTTCTGATAGTTAGCATGGCCTCCCACGCTCTCTATCGCTGTCTCTGTACTTGTCTTTGTCTCGCTCCCTCAGGCTCTCGCTCTCTCTCTCTCTCTCTCTCTCTCTCTCTCCCTCTCTCTCTATCTATCTATCTCTAGGCCGATCTCTCTCCTTGTCGCTCCCTTTTTGTAGCCGAGCATCTCTCTCTTTCGCTGTCGGTATCTTTCGCTCACACCCTCATCCTCTCTCTCTCTCTCTCTCTCTCTCTCTCTCTCTCTCTCTGGCTTTCTCACTAGCTCTCTCGCTCTTGATTTTTCAAATTTGAGGCCCATCCCCCAATCTAGCAAATCCGTATCCTAAAAGCAATACAAAACCATCTTTTTCCA